TAACTTCACTCAAAAACAAAACAATGTAAAACTTTAGAGCCTAGAAGTCCACTCAGTCCTATTTCTTGTTCAGCCAATCACTCAGACAAACAAGTTTGGTTACAGTTTGCAGGAGATAATGCTGCCCACTTCTTGTTCACGATGTCACCTGAAAGTGAGAACAGGCATTCACATGGCACTGTTGTAGCTGGCCTAGCAAGATATTTACATGCCAGATGTGCTAAAGATTCATATGTCCCTTCAAGCTTCAACCACCATTCCAGAGGACATACATCCAGGCTGATAACAGGTTCTGCTCGATAACAATCCAAAGCAGTGCGGACTGATGCATGGTCATTTTCATCATCTGAGTCAGATGCCACCAGCAAAAGGTTGATTTTCTTTTTTGGTGGTTCAGGTCCACATTGGAGTGTTGCGTCATCAGCATGGAAGCATGTCCTCTGGAATGGTGGCCGAAGCATGAAAGGGCATACAAATACCTTGCAATGCCCGCTACAAGAGTCCCACATGAACACCTGTTCTCACTTTCTGGTGACATTGTAAATAAGAAGTGGGCAGCAGCATCTCCCATGAATGTAAGCAAACTTGTAAACATAAAATGTAAATGATTGGCTGAACAAGAAGTAGGACTGAGTGGACTTCTAGGCTCTAAAGTTTTGCATTGTTTTGTTTTTGAGTGCAGTTATGTAACAACAAAAATCTACATTTGTAAGTTTCACTTTCATGATAAAGAGGTTGCACTACAGTACTTGTATGAAGTAAATTTAAAAATACTATCTTGTTCATCATTTTACAGTACAAATATTTGTAATAAAAATAATATAAAGTGAGCAGTGTATTCTGTGTTGTAATTGAACTCTATATTTCAAAATGTAGAAAAATATCTAAAATTGTAATAAATTTCAATTGGTATTCTATTGTTTAACAGTGCAATTAAAACTGCGATTAATCGCAATTTTTTTAATTGCGATTAATTTCTTGAGTTAATCACGTGAGTTAACTGCGATTAATCAACAGCCCTATTTTAAACTAAACCACTAAGTGAAGGCTATAAACAAAGAGTTTAGTTTAATTACTCATGTTTTCTTTTAAACTTGTCACCTATCCAATCAAGAACCATACCAGCTGTTTGCTGTGCATTAAATTAAGCAAAAAAAAATATGCTTTGAAATTTAGCCCACTTATCTTCTAAAAGTGTTAATGGATTCATTCTCTGTACTTCATCTATGCTATGAAATTACCAACAGTAATTCTTTCTACTAATTTCTTTCTATAATACTAAAATAATGCTTAGTCTGTTGGATCTAACCATTCGGGTAAGTGCATTCTTCCTTATTCTAAACAAGGAGATTTATATTCAGAAGCAGAAAGCGAATCATACTATTCACTAAGGTTTTCTGTTCTCTTTTCTATCCACAGCTCTGAGGATGAGAATGGCAAAGCTGGGGAAAAAGGTGATTTAACAGCTGGAATGACATGGAACTAAAATTTAGGCTTTGTTAATCAAAAGAGAATAAAGTTAAGACTTCCTTTCCGGCTGTTTTTTCTGGACTTCAATGTGTTTTGCTTATTCTAAAATGTAAATGTGAATTACATATTACACATATGCAGCCCTGTCCCTCTGCAGAGACCCAGTGACTTCACTAGGATTCCCCCCCGACATAAGGGGCATCTGCATAGAAAAACAGTGCAATCAAATCCTGGAGTCCTTACACCTAAATAAAACTACTACTGATGTCAATATGAAATTTGGCCACATAAGAACGATCAACTTTGGCCCTATACGAGCGCGCACACACACACACACACACACACACACACACACACAGAGTAAAGAATAACAGTTGCCATGAGTACAGCACGGATAAGCAATTAAACACCCCTTGAGGAAATTCCAGTATTCAATTTTCAAGGACACATGCACACACTTGAAAGTGAACCAACCTAACTGAAGATGCTGTTGCAATGTATTTCTAGTTTATTAAGTTAATGTAAAAAAACAGCTATTTAAAGTAGAAATATGATGGAATGTAAATATGCAGAGATTCCCATAGCATAAACGGATGTAGCACCACTGGACTCCGATGGATTGGTAGCAACTGACAACAGCTGAGGACTTGGTTCAAAAATGTTTTGGTCAATAATTACAGTTCAGGCTGTAGCTCCTATCAGGAGGCTCTCTCAAGTCAGCTGCAACCCAGCAGGGATGTAAAAGCAAATCCAAATTCTCTCTCAGTAGGTGGTAACTGTCTGTCACCGTGCCGGCTGTGGGTGGGCGTTCCATAGCTGTACTCCTACACATAGTCAGTGAGCAGGCAATAGCTAGTGCTGAATCTGGTGATAGACGTAGGTGTAACTCACACAAAGCACCCTGTTGTGGTTGGCAAACCTGGGTCTGGTTATTTAGCTCCCCATCTAGTGAGCTGTCATCATACCTGACACAAACACCTTCTGAGAGATACACACGTGTGTTTAAAATGTAGGGCTGCGAAATCTCAAATGTTAGAACTTGGCCAAATGCAGGAAAATGAACAAATAAAACTGAATTAGGCTTAAGCTGTTGGGTGGTAGTTCTTTTCCACTTGCATTGTTCTCTCTCTCCTTCCATCTTTAGTAATCTCACAGTCTCATATTGTTTTGCTTTTCTCTTTTGTCTGTTTTCTCCCTCTAATCTGACCACCCCGTTCTCCTTCTAGTACCACATTTGCTCTCTCTCAGGCATTTCCATCCTAAGAAGATGGAGTCCCTTCCTTTTTCTGTATATTAAGTACTGTAGTTTAAGTAGTTTTCCACAATGTAAGGAAAATGCTCAAGTATTAATGCCCAATTTAAATATATTTCAGACCTGATCCAAAAATCGGTCAACATAAACATTGCTTGAATTCATGAGAAATGTGTGGTACAATGCCCTAATCACAGGCTGCCTGTGCTGCCACAGCTGGGGGAAATATGCTGCCCCTACACCCGCAATACCTGTGGCCAGACTATCATTAGCAAAACAATCACCAGCATTAATTTTTCAGTGGTAGCATAGTTTTTAACAGTGACTTATCATCTCCTCATCTCAGCACACAAGAGCTCAGTGCATCACTAAACTGAAGGGCAGCGGGGGGGGGGGGGGGAGAAGAGAAGAGCATTAAAAGAAGACTGGGATTTTCCTTGCTACTAAACCACTAAATAAAGACAGACTTTTGGAACTTAACCCTAGTGAAGTTGTACAAGTGAAAATATAAGCTCTGTAAACCAATCACAGTCAGTTCAATATTCAGTTTATTCACCCAATTATCTAATATTTTGATATTAAGTATAATAAACTTGTTTGGGCTAATTTCTTTTTATTGACCCTCTTTTGTACATATCTCCCATATCTAGGCCCCCACATTTACAGTTCTAAAAATTGGGGAGGGAGGAGAAACAAAAACTCCCAACAACCTGACTTCATGTTATTTAAACAAGAGCGCCACGTAGTGTCACAAAAGCTGCAGTGAGCAGGAAAGAGAGGACAAAACAACTTTGTCCACTTATGTATCCCTGATAGCTTCAAATCCTAAGAGCAAGAGGAAATATGGAGTAATTTTAAACACATTTTCTCCAGCTGGTACTTGTTGACAAGAACAAATGAGGTAGCAACAATGCAGGAAGTCACAGTGATTGGGAGGAAGAAATCTTTTCCTTAAAGTGCACTGTACAAGCTACCACTGCATATAATTTTAAATTAAAGTTCTGTTGAACAGTTTTCATAGTCAAGGGAATTGACAGTCTCCAGCACCTTTATAGCATCACTTGTGTGTATTTTCACCACTTCATTTTTCCTCTAAAGTAGATCAGGGTGAAACACTGCTTCAGCAATAGGAGTTTTGCATTAAGGAGCAAACTTTGGCCCTATTGACTTTATTGGGAACAAGATTTGGCCCAGGAGTGAGTTTACACTGCACCTCGGAATCCTTCGTTTCCTCTTTGGGAATATTGGAGGGTGACAGAACTTCAGCATAACAGATTACAGAAGAAATGACTTCTAACCAAAGCCCTGATCCTTAAACCCTAACTCATGGGAGCAGTTCTGTTAACATCAATCACACAATGTAAGTGGAGCCAGAATATGGCTTTAAAGGAGAAATGCATTACCAGAATGAAACTATTCATGTGATTAATTACATCTTGTGTCACAAAGAGTTGGAAGTAAGGGGTCCTGCTCACCTTCTCATTGGAGTAGTCCCACTGAAATCAATCGGATTTCACACAGGAGTAAGGAAGCAGGATTTGATGCTGGTAGTAAAGTAATATAGTACATTAAACATGAAATGACTTGCATGGAGGAAGTCAAAAATCGGTATGCCTACTTCTACGCTCCCTTACACAGGCAAAATTCCTCTGGATTTCAGCTGGGAGTTTTGATTGTGTCATGATCAAATCAGTCCCACAGAATTAGTTATCATTTTGACTGAATGTATTTTAATAGCAAGATATAGCCTTAGAAAGATACAGCCCAACAATAATTCACCCGCCTTTATTTAAAGCTAGATTACTAAACGATTGGAAAGGAATATTAGTAGCTCTCAATGGCTCTGGAAATAAACCTGCTGCCCGTGCCATCTGTTCTGCTGCTGCCATGGGATGGCCCATCAGTCTTTAAACAGAGTTATAAAAGAGGAAAGGGGGGCAAGCTCCAGAAAACATACCTGAGCAGTGTTTTGTACTCCTATTTGTGCTGAGCCTGGTCCAACACCCATTGTCATTAATTCAAAACCTACTATCTTCACTAGGTGTTGGTCAGGCCCATTGTGCAGAGACTTTAAATAAGGAGCACCAAGCGATAAATGTTAGCAGAATGATCCAGTGATTTTTTTTCCCCTCCTTTTGAGATGAGCAGGTTAGTCTCACTATCATCATCTGGGAAGGTGACATGAGCAGCAATCCCTGGAAACCCTTTTGGGGAAGGCCAGTAGTGCAAGAGATTAATAAAAAAAGAAACTGACCTTTAAGGTTTAAAAGGTGAATAGGTTTTCTTTTGTAGGAAGGAATCTTACACAATATTTTTAATTTAGAAAATAAATTCATAACTGTACAAAAGTGATGTCCGAGAGAGAAAAGCAGCAGCAGATCAAAGGGGAATTTTCTAAATAAAGCTATTCTCTTGCTTTTATTTTGAAGTGTCTTTATCCCATTAAAAAGACAAGAGAAACTTTAATTTCAAAGTACTTATATTAATGTTTTGGTTTTTTTAAAATCAAGACGGTGTTCACATTTCCATGACAGAATGGACAATGTTTGAGGTATCAGAGTACACAGCACATACAGCTATCAGTGTAAAAACCATGCAAAAGAACTCAACACTGATAATTAAACGAGAATAAAAACCTAGTGAAACATCTGGTTTGACAGCTCTCTCTTCTGTAAAGAAATACATTTGTACACAGAGTCCCTAGTGACTTTAGATCTGCTCTGCTCATATGAAATCCCCATATTCCATTGCAATCAATTCCCATACTCATATCCCAGTATAGTTCCTGCCATTTCTTTCCTTCTGTATCCACACCTAGGGTTTTGGTAAGTACTTCCTCTTTTTGCTTGGTGGGTTTTTGTTTTTTGTTAGCCCCGCTCCCTCCTTTCTGCTGGTGGTGGTTCTTCTTTCTCATTCCTACACCCACTTGAAGGCTATCATTGCTGCCCGTGAGGTTACCAATCAACAGCTGGGGGCTGAAACACATGTTAAGATAGCTCTGGAGGAGCCAAGAAGAAAATAAGCTTGAACCAACAGCCTGAGCCCTCCACTGAGCTGCTCCTTTAACCAACTACATTAGTGGGTACCAAATGGAAGGAGTACAAATGGGTTATACAGGAGACAATCGGTAGCCACCACTTAATCCCCATCTGTGACAAATTCCACAGCTACATCATGCTTGCTAAGAGAGTGGTGGGTGGATAGGTCTGGTTTTATATACACCTTTCTTCATCCCAAATCTCACCCCTCACAGCTAGTCAGGTATTCCCTGGTTGGCAAAATATTCTGTTATTATACCTAGATCTTTAGGCTTTGAAACATCAGGAACTAGAATAAAGCATGAAAGGAAGCTGTTCAGGGTTCACAGGGGGTATTATTGCAGTTATACACTAGTAAAACACTGCTTATAGAATGCTTTGACTATATACTCGGCAGAGCTACTGCCACCCCTAGACAAACCCACAAAACAAAAGCCAAACAATTTAAAACAAGAAGTGGAGAGGGTTGCTTTTATCTAGCCGATGTTGCTTATGGGAATCCCTTACTGCTTAAAGTGGGGAGAGGCACCCCCCCACGCACAGTCTCTAGTATTCCCGTGCACATGAAGCAAAAGGTCATTTTCCTGTTGGATGGACATGTTAATTCAAAAAGAGCTGTGGGAAAGCAGCTTCTATCAGGTTAACCAAGAGGTCAAGAAAACTCCTCCTTTCTAACAGTACCAGGTTTAAACACAAAGTGATGGAACAGATATTTTGACTTAAGTGGCCAGAAGACACTATGACTATATAGACACATTGCGGAATAGTTTCGCTAAAAGTTTCTCATAATGAGTTTGCAGTGTGTCTTCTCTTTATAGTCTAAAGATTAAAAAAAAAAAATTATGATTGATGCAAGTAATGACAAAGTTACAGGACTGAAGCTCAGCCCAGTTTGTGTGTTATATGGAACTGCTCCTAGAGCAGAAAGTGTAGGTTTTGCATTTAACTGCAGAGAAATATGCCAATGTAGTCTTTGATGCATCAACTAGTGTTTGTGACAATCGTTCTGAGCACAGATTTTTGGAGTGCACAATACCAACATCACATACTTTAAATAAGAGCCATTTAGGCAATACATTATTCATTAAGCAACATGGTAAACTGAACTATATGACAAGCAGATTTAGGACTGGTCTATTCAGTATTCCAAATAATATACGTGTAGGTACAGAGAATGATGACAAAAGTTCAAAACAGTGATTTCCACCCATACCAACCACTAGTTATAATCATACCCTCTCAGCCTACACAAAACAAACAAAAAAAGTTAAGTTACTGGGTTAAAAGAGTTACTGCAGTCCTTACTCAGGAAAAGACTCCCAAAAAATATATCAAAAGTAGTTTGGGCCGGACTGCAGGATCAGTCTTTAGAATCTAAACATACATTCTCTCTGTTGATGATCATGATAGCACAGACAGATGAATTATCATCACACACAATTATTCTTCAAGTATAACTTCAGGAAGGTATTGAGGCAACACTGGTATCTGTAAGAATTCCTTGAGTGGTGCTTCACTCTTGATTTCACTGCAAATGCTCAACATTTAATGTCCTTGCCAGAAATTCATAGTTTTCATAGTTGGTGGATTGCTGCCAGGAAGGTAATAAGGAATGCTATATTTCCACAGATGTAGATGGTTAACACAATCTCTTTAAATGTATGACCCTGTAAGAGAAAATACACATTTCACAATTACAGTGTTGTAAAGAAAAGCACATACCGTGAAATACTTTCCAAGGTAGCAACTTGCCTCTGCCTCTGCCGATGTAAGCGACTGCAGAATTTGTATTCTATCCTCATCAATCACTTCAACTGTAAAACCAAAACAAACATATGGTTAGCCTTGTACTTGATAAGAAGAGATGCAATGTTTCACACATACTTCTTTCTGGCTAATGGTTGATTAATTCAATGGATGGCATGGTATTAAGCCTAATCAACAGGCGTCTCTACAGCCAGTTCAGAAACACCACTGAAAAAGCCTCATGCAATGCATCCTCTCATGGCCTACACTTCAGTGTTCACGGTTAAGTAGAAATAAGGATAGAAGGTTAATGAAAATTTGGAAGAGCTTGCCAGAAGCATAAAAGGACACTCAGTGTTTTGTCTTTTCAATGCTAAAGAGCAGTGGTTCTCAACCAGGGGTACGCAGGAGGTCTTCTAGGCCAGTGGTTCTCAAACTAGGGCTGCCGCTTGTTCAGGGAAAGCCCCTGGCGGGCCGGGCCAGTTTGTTTACCTGCCGCGTCCGCAGGTTCGGCCAATCGCAGCTCCCAGTGGCCGCGGTTCGCTGCTCCGGACCAATGGGAGCTGCAGGAAGCAGCGCGGGCCAAGGGACGTACTGGCCGCCGCTTCCCGCAGCCCCCCATTGGCCTGGAGCGGCAAACCGCGGCCACTGGGAGCTGCGATCGGCCGAACCTGCGGATGCGGCAGGTAAACAAACCGTCCCGTCCCGCCAGGGGCTTTCCCTGAACAAGTGGCAGCCCTAGTTTGAGAACCACTGTTCTAGGCAATACATCAACTCATCTAGACACTTGCCTAGGTTTTACAAGAGGCTATATAAAAAGCACCACGAAATCAGCATAAACAAAACACTTCATACAGACTATGACTTCTTTATACTGCTCTATGTACTATATGCTGAAATGTAAGTACAATATTTATATTCCAATTGATTTATTTTATAATTATATGGTAAAAATGAGAAAGTACACAATTTTCAGTAATAGTGTGTTGTGACACTTGTATTTTTATGTCTGATTTTGTAAGCAAGTAGTTAAGTGAGGTGAAACTTGGGGTATGCAAGACAAACAGACTCCTGAAAGGGGTACAGTCCTCTGGAAAGGTTGAGAGCCACTGCTAAAAAGGACAATTCTATTAGGATTTCTACATCGTCTCCTGGATTTCTCATGGTCAGCTGGAATTTAACTCCTCTTTCCTCCAAAAATCCTCTGTTCCCCCCCACACCTCATTTTGAGCCATTTGATGCTGCTATCCTCTGGTTACTCAAGTCAGTAACCAGAGAGTCACCCAATTCTTCTCCCCTCATGTATAGGCAGCATCTAACTCCTCCCACTTCTCCACATAATAGAATGAAGAGAAGAGACCAATTTAGCTATTTTATTAGTAAGTATCACCCTTCCTGTCTACTGTAACCAGGGGTGAAAGTAGGCCGGTACCGTGTATCAGTAAGAAGCTGGTACCGGCAGGGCTGCTGACTGGGGTCAGGGGGGCAAAAGGGGCAGCTGCCCCAGGGTCAGCGATTTAAAAAAGGGCTTGGGGTTCCCAGCCGCCACCACCACGGCAGCAGCTGGAGCTCCAGGCCCTTTTAAATTGCTGCCGGAGCCCCGGGCAGCACAGGCCAGGCAGCACAGATGGGCTGGCTGGGGGCGGCTGACCCCTCCAGCCCTGCCCATTCTACCCGAGGCCCTGCCCCTTCCAGGTAAGAGTTTAATATTATTTTCACCCCGACTGTAACAACCGTTCTCCATCCTTCTTGACAACTATGCAGTGGTTTATTTACTTGTGTGTGTGTAATCTTGACTCCTGGTGAGATACTGACCAAAGTGAAGATAAGAACTTGGGATGAAATCCTGGGCCTTACTGAAATTAACTTCAAAACTCTCAGACTTCAATGGGGCCAGAGGCCCTGTATTTAGCAGCTAATGAGTTACCCATTTTTGCTCAAATAGCATTTGTGCTTAAGGTCCCCTGCTGTTGACCAGTCTGTTCATAGGTAGGCAGCCACAGCTAGTTACAGTAATGGTTTATCAGAGAGGATCTCAAGAGACAGTACCTGCTTTCCCACCTAGTTTCAAAGGACTGAGTTCACTCCCACACTATGCTTGACTTTCCCCATACTATCACAATGGCTGTGTTGAGCTAGCAACACAAACAGAAGATTTTTGGTGTACATTTTAGAGATTCGCATGACCCTCTGGCACTAAGTTTTGGGATTTCATGGCACACAGGCCAATTCAAAAATGTACCAGCACTTATAGCCAGGAAAGTCTAACCAAAAAAAGTGTCAAAACAATTCACTTATTGTTTTCAAGAGCGGTCACCAAATTTACATACAAGTAGTCATCCATGCATCTATTTCACATATCCAAAATCACCTAAATGAGCTGATATTTGCAAGCACAAAATTAGAGGCTGGTTTAAGCCTCTTAACTGAGTGAACTAAATTATCCAAGTTTTTGCATTTCACCTGGGAAGTCCTATTTTGCACTACCTGGCAAGCAAGGCAGTGACACTAGCCGTATTGTTTGGTTTGTACCTTTGCGAATGAGACAGTAGCTATGTATCTCCAGGAGAATATCAATACCGACATGCCAAGCTACAAATCCAATCATTGTGTAAGTGTCCCATGGGTCTGGAAGGTTGAGTGCTGGTAGGTCCATTCCCAGGAACATAGTTACCACTGTTGTTAAAACAAAGACATAGTTTAAAGACGTGAAAAGAAACGTTGAGAAGTATTTGTGACAGTGTATCCCATAAGGCTTCATAGGGAGCGGGTGCTTATAAATGTATGTATGACATAACTGGAATATGTTTTGTGCTGCCTGTGCCATGTAACATATCTCCGTAAAGGTTATGGTCTACTATATCTATTCATCCTATTTGTACATATATATCATTTTCTACTTGAGGTTAAGAATATGGGCTGTATGCTGGCTTGGTTTCTAAGTAAGCTCTGTGAGGCATTTGGTCAGCTTCTTTAGGAAGGAATTCGCCAGGTTAAGTACCTGATCAGGAAACACTTGGGGAACAATGCATCTTGGAATGCTCCAATCCACATAAGAAGTCTTCCTGGAGACATGCAAGATACCATGTGGACAATGGCTTCAGCCTGTAAAGACTGAGTCATGCAGGGACATGTGACTTGCCCAGGTGACCCCAGAACTCCATCTTGGAGCTGGACTTTGCATAGGAGGGAGGGGGTCTCCACCCACAAGAGAGAGTCTATTTAAACCCGTGGGAGACCCCTCCATTTTGTCTTCAGCTGGCTAAAGAAGGAGCCTCTCCACCCCTCCCAGGATACTTGAAGGAGACTGAAACAAAGGACAGTAACTACAGGGGGTGTGAGTGATTGCTGGACCCAGGCTAAAGGAGATTAGCCTGTAAAAGGGAGTGCTCTGGAACTGGTGAGGAAATTATCTGTATTTAGTTTGATTAGACATAGATTTGCGCATTTTATTTTATTTTGCTTGGTGACTTATTTTGTTCTGTCTGTTACTACTTGGAACCACTTAAATCCTACTGTCTGTATTTAATAAAATCACTTTTTATTTAGTAATTTACTCAGAGTATGTATTAATACCTGAGGGAGCAAACAACTGTGCATATCTCTCTATCAGTGTTATAGAGGGGGAACAATTTATGAGTTTGCCCTGCATAAGCTTTATGCAGGGCAAAACGGATTTATCTGGGTTTAGACCCCATTGGGAGTTGGGCATCTGAGTGCTAAAGACAAGCAGACTTCTGTGAGCTGCTTTCAGGTAAACTTGCAGCTTTGGGGCAAGTGATTCAGACCCTGGGTCTGTGTTGGAGCCAGACAGGAGTGTCTGACTCAGCAAGACAGAGTGCTGGAGTCCCGAGCTGGCAGGGAAAACAGGTGCAGAGGTAGTCTTTGCACATTAGGTGGCAGCTCCCAAGGGGGTTTCTGTGATCCAACCCGTCACAGTATTGTCCTCAAGACAAAGTAACACAAGCTTATGGCTTAGTGGGTGAATGGTTATCAAGAGTTAAATATACTTCTGGAGGCTTAAGAGTGAAAAAACACATCCAACTATCTCTAACTGTATGGCTCAGGATAACCATGATCCTTGTTATACATTGATCCTATGAAATAACCTCAGAGTCCAGAGCTACTTTACTATATAGATTGTAAACATGCTAATCTAAAAAGAGGTTTAAAAGGACAATGATGTGATACACAGCCACAATGGTAACAAATTCCTCCAAATAAATGGAGGACCGCAACTGATTTGAAAACTCTGGTGATTATATATAATTTAAAAAACAGAACAAAACAAATGGTTCCCCCCAAAACTACAAGATAAGGAGAGAGAGGTGCCTCATGCAGGAGATGGGCCACCAGAATCCCTGAAGACAAGAAAGTCACATAAGGGGTCCCAGTACTCCATATTGATAGGTGGAGACTTAGGGAAAGAGGAGGAGCTTTGAATATACAAGCAAGCTTGTAAAAATTTGTCTGGTTGTTGTTAACCCTGTACAATAGCAAGGGTAAAGTCTGGTTTGTATAGCCCATACAGACAAAACCCTTATTCTAAGACCACTTTGGTGATTAACGAGATTGAAGTAGTCATCTACATTAAGATCCATGTTTGAGTAACTAGTGTTCAACCACCACTCCATTTCTGCAATACCAATATATCTCAAGATGCCTAAGCAAGTTACAAATGGGCTATAAACAAGGAGGTACACTAGATATGCCTAGACAGGATTACAATTACTCACCAGCTAGTATTCTAGCTGTTGTGCCAGTACTCCAATGAACCCAGTTAAATACTTGCCTTCTACAAGAAGAAAAAATAAATCAGTGTTATATCAAGTAATTTAGTTGCCAACATGGAATCTTCCAAAGGTTGGGGGGGAAAAAAAAAAAAAAGATCCTTAAACATGCCATGTTATCTTGAAAAAAATATAAAGTTTGTATCTGTATGAAACATGTTTAAAACTTGTTTTGTATACCATCAGTGTAATCTCCTGGAGAAGTACATTATGACATTTTTAAGGAGTGTAAATATCCGTGTACCTTGGTGCATGAGGAGGTGGTCTGAAACCTGCCATCAGAGGTTGAAAGATTGCCAGAGCCATCACGGTACAGCCAAGGTATGGGTGAAAACCTGCCCACTGAACAAAGGATTTCTTTTTATTAATACTGTGATGTTCATACTAAACAATGGAAGCAACATTCAGACCAAAGAACAGGTCAGGAACAACTGTACACAATTGCAAAGCCTTATTTTAATACCATTTCTTTCAGGTGCATTCCAAGCCCCTATCCTCAGCTACTCGTGTTCCCATCTCACATACCTTTTGGTCTAAGTCTTGGCTATGAATAGAAGCACTTTTTCTCCTGGTGTATGTTTTTAAATTAATTTAAAACTGAATTGGTATTTATAGTGTAAAAGGCAGCTTGAGAAAAGACAGAACTAGTGGAACATGGGGACAAAACTAAGAGCAAAGGACAAACAGGAAAAGGAAGATTCAGACAGTGTTGGGATGAACTTGCTGTCAACTACCATCATCACACATAGAACAGTTTTCTTAAGAGAAGTGCTTTGCATTCCATCATTTAAAATTAGGCTAGATAAAGCACTAGAAAATTATACCACACAGAAGAATCCTGTATTAGCTGGATGAGGGGAGGGGGAAGCAGCAGCAGATTGATTCAGGACCTAATAGATCTTTTTCCATCTCTAGTTTCTGTGGTGAAACTAGAAAAAGGAAAAGTGGGCTCAAAGTGGGTAGAATAATTCCAAACAAGGTCTTTCACACACAGGGGGAAAGCCAGAAAAGGTGACTCAAGTGCAATTTTTCAACTGAAAGAAGCAGTAAGTAGGAAAACAAGGTAAATGCCTGATTTATACTTCTTTGTCTTCAGATCACCACTCAAGCACAGCAATGAGGTAACCGCTTTCATGGTAATTTCTTTGGAATTAAATAACTACTTATGTCATGGACATTAAAAAAACCAAATCTACTGTTCATACTTCAAATGACATTTATCCGGGAAACAATACAGACTTCAAATCTCAGAGGCAGCCCAAAAAGGTTTTACTCACTTCACTCCAGCCTCCTCTGTATATAAAAGGAAGAACAAAAGCGATGCTCGTAAGAAGCACTGTGGTCAACATCAGCATACGATGTACCTATGAACATTTAAATAGGTTTAAAAAGAAGGAGTGGTGGTGTATTTTGGAGTGTATTTAGAGGAAACTGTTAGAGTTTGCATTACATTGGCAGGCAAGCAGAGATTACTAGTAAAGACAAAGTCCACTGTAAATAGGAGACAATACCTAACTGAACTCATTGTACTTCACAAGTCCAAATGAAAGTTATGACCTGTCGTGGCACCCCAGGTCAAGAAATAAAAGAAGATGTAGTTTAAGGAGCATGACAGTCTCTTGTGTTTTATTCTATTTGTAATAAGATTAATACATACAGCTAAACTTTTATGTAGAGTTTTTTTTGCCCACCTGGAACCAAATCTCCTTCCCAAACAACGAATGAGGCCAAACTGGTTTGAAGAATCTGGCAACAATAACACCAATACTAACTGTAGTCATCCATGCAACAAACATTAATGAAGCTGAAGGAGAAAATATTCACATGTGAAAATTTGGTTATAACACTGGATATGAACACAATTGACCAAATATTGCAGGGGACAAGCTTCAAAATGTAACTTTAGAAGAACATAAGAGTAGAGGGTCAAATCCCTCTGACACTTGGTTAAAAAATGCCTCACACATTGATGTACTCTTGCTATGTTATATACCTATTTTTGAGTGGAGACCAGTCAATAATAGGACTAATCTGTATGGATAGCACTGTAGAGAGATCGGTGCCAGGTCAGGGAAAGCACATGCACTAAGATATAGATTTCACTTCCAAACCAGATGGCAGTCTATTGCTGCCTCCATGAGTTGGTTCACTGTGCAATAGCACAAGTCAAAACAGAGGCAGTAATGAGCAGCCTGTGCTTCATCTGCTGACCACAGGTTTTTTGATGAGCAACTACACAGAGAATTTTTGAGTTAGATTTTAGTATCAAAAGTTTAACAGGTTAATTCAAAACAGGTCTTTCTTTGACAGAAAGTAGAATTTTCATTCAGCTCTTTATGGACCTGTTTCAAAATCAATTAATGTGAACGGAAAGACTCCCATTAACTTCAATGGGCTTTGGCTCAGGCTCCAAACCACCACCTAATGAGTGTCTCATGGTTAAGGCTGCGTGTCTGTCACGGAGGTCATGGAACTCATGGATTCCGTGACTTTCCGTGACCTCCATGACTTCTGCAGCTGAGCCAGGCAGTCCCTGGGCCAGCAGCAGTTTGGGTGTGTGGGAGGGAGCTCGGGCAGGGGTTTGGGGTACAGGGTGGCGCTTACCAGGGGGGGCTCCCTCTGGCATGTCCCTGCAGCTCCTAGGTGGAGGAGCCAAAGGGCTCCATGCGCTGCCCACATCCACAGGTGTGGTCTCCCCAGCTCCCATTGGCTGCGGTTCCCAGCCAATGGGAGCTGGTGCTTGTGGCGGGAGCAGCACATGGAGCCCCCCTGGCCACCTTTTCCCCTAGGAGCTGCGAGGACATGCTGGTTGGAGCCAGGTAGGGAGCCTGCCAGCCCCACCAACTCTCCCCCGCACAGAAGGGGTCCCAGGCCACACACCACACCTGCGGTGGTCTCAGACCACCACCATCCCCAGCACCACCAGCCTCCCAGCCCAAAGTTTTAGTTAAGGGTATATAGTAAAAGTCATGGACAGGTCACAGGCCATGAATTTTTGTTTACTGCCTGTGACCTGTCCATGAATTTTACTAAAAATATCTGTGACTAAAATGTAGCCTTACTCATAGTACACATTTATTTTACATAGTATTGGAAAAAGGGAACTTCAAAATAGAGATGCAATTCTAAATTTAGACTGCCAAGTCATAAAAATAAGACGACAAAATTCCTTTAAAACAAGGGAGCTAGTAATACGCTTGACAAATGAGTAAAACAAGTTCCTCTCTCTGGATGAGTAGAATCCTGCAAAACCACGTTACAGTTTGTCAGGTTTTTTTAAAATTAAGAAAAAAAGTTTCCCTACTTTTTCCCCTAGTTTTCCAAACCAGCTCTTATATCAGGAGAAGCAGATACCCCAGTGGACTGACACACCACAGGAAATAGCTTCTTTACAAAATTTTCATCCTTCTTTCTGCAATCAACAGTAGCTTCTTCAGCACTGGGCAAATCTAGTATTTGCTGTTAGAACTGTAACTTGCCATGGAGTTTAAGAAGAAGTGGAGAGCGGGATCCCCCTACATCCTTTGGAGAGTCTGTGACATTGTACATTCCATTGGTGATCAGAGGCTGACGATGATGTTTGTGAATTAGACCTCCTATGCAAAGATACAGAGTAGTTTATAGATAGTTAATGAAAGTTGCTGTGCTTGTATCCCTTCCCCTCCTATCCTTAGTTTACAATTCAGTGAGCACCATGTGTTGTAGGGGGATGGCGATTGTGTTTGTAAATTTCACCTCTGCAGATTCTGACTGGAATCTTTTGGATTAAACTCCACCCGCTCCCCCTCCCCCCCCCAAGATTTTTTCAAAAAAATATAAACATGTATAATCTACCTACAGAAAAGAGATCACTCTCTATTAGATCTATAGGGTTTTGAAGAACATCTTGTATACAATGCTATTTAGTTTCCATTTTAGTTTAATCCCTATTAAAAATTGTATAGGATTCTCTCTCAAGAATACTACTCCAAGCACCAGATGGTTATGGAACACATTTATATTAAGAGCAAACCAGATTTTTGTTACATTTCCAGAGATGAGCCAGAGCTCATCACATTAAGGTCATTTTCACTGGTTACATGTGAAATTTGAGACAGAAGTCAGATTACTTCTCATGTTTATTTTTAATACACCTTATAGGGGATAGTCCTTGTTTAGCATGGTTTGAGAAATGTGAATATTTAACCATATCTTCAATCAGACTTACCCTCACTCGCCTCCCCATCTGCCAGAAATATGTAATAATTAGCATCTAGATTAAACCTCCCTTTATAAGCAGGAAGACGAAGGTTTCTTCTGAAAGAGCACTGAACAAGTCCGTCAGCCACCCTCCATGAGATATCTTCAAGGCCATTCTATGAAACATACAATGAACATTTAATACTCGTTGTGTGGGGTCTTTCAAACTGAAAACAAATTTACTCCACTCCTTCCTCAAGGCCAGTGATTTTGGCCTGGCTCTACTTGACCAATGTTGGACATTGAGCCGATGTTCACTGTCTCTTAATAGCCCATATCATAAAAAGAGTTAGCTGCACCAGCAAAGTCAGTGATGCCAGCAAGAATCTATGGCTAGGTCTACACTACCCGCCTGAATCGGCGGGTAGAAATCGACCTCTCGGGGATCGATTTATCACGTCCCGTCAGGACGCGACAATCGATCCCCGAATCGACGCTCTTACTCCACCAGCGAAGGTGGGAGTAAGAGCCGTCGACGGGAAGCCGCGGAGGTCGATTTTGCCGCCGTCCTCACAGCGGGGTAAGTCGGCTGCGATACGTCAAATTCAGCTATGCTATTCGCGTAGCTGAATTTGCGTATCTTAAATCGACCCCCCCCCTGTAGTGAAGGCATAGTCTGAGAGTTCTCTTGGTGTGGTAGGTTTCTAGGCAACAGCTGCAGGGACATGCTTTCACACACTACATTTTAGGGCATGGTCTTCAAAATGGTGACTAACAAAGTTGTGTCTTACACGGGTGTATTTACAGAAAGCATTTTAAAAAGACAATAGATGCACAGGAGCACTGTGAGGTTAAATTACTTGCTCAAGGTCACACAGAGGGCATAAGGGTAAAGACAGAGTGCTTCCCTGGATAACAGAATCAGGAAGTTTGCATTGTATTACCCGTTTGTCTGCCATCTCAGCATGACCTTGAGCAAGTCACTTCCCTGCTACCATTTTTACTCTCAGTTAACCGTTTGTAGAGTCACTGCAGGGCTCTCGAAAAATCACTTACACTGTGGAGTTCCATCAGCAATGGTAGGAGATTTTTAGAAAGTTTCCCTAGCATAGACCGGGCAATAACAGACAACTACCTCACAGGTTGTTCAAATAGAAGTAATAAAGAAGCCAGCAACAGATCTGGGTCTCGACATTTCTTGTGCATCAGAAATAAGCACCTTCTATGTGAGGTGGGTCAGTGAGTCCAGAAAGGGAAAAATCCTGGGATCTTTATCATAAGATGGCTACTTATAGAACTACTGCCTTACTAGCTTCATTCAAAGCTATTGGATTTAAAAAAAGACTACATCAGTGAAATATTGACAAATTAGAACCCAGCTGCATGCAAAGTGTCTTAATTGTCACACACCATACCTCTGAGTCCAACACAGGAGGAATTCGCCCACTAAGATAGGCCGTGTTTACATTAATACGGTGATCTTCATTAATACACAGATATGCATCATCGTCACCCTGAAAATAAAAGCATTTTCCCCCAATTTAGATAGTAATTATAGGCAAAGCTATATGCAGATGAATGGTTTAGTCCAAGCTCTCCTTTCCACCTGCACTATACCCGGAGTAACTTCATTGCCATTACAGCAAGTTTACAATGGTGCAACTAAACTGAGAGTATGGCCTGAAGTATTGTAAGAGTTGAAAGTTTGAACTTTCAAAATCAAATGGAAAAACTACTTTTTTGAATGACATTGGCTAGAAATATACAAGGTATTAAAAGTTATTTAATTGCACGCTATATGCCAATACCAATCTTTGCATTGTTAAGTTGAAGAAGATAATGTTATAGTTAAAAAGTTTACTCCAACAGAATACACCCTACACTGTAAGATATAGTGCTTGAAATGATAAAGGTTTACCACCAGGGGTCAATGGTACATGTACTTTTAAAAGTATTTATGCAGTGAGCACCAGGATAGTCTGTAAAATGGTTTGATCCTGGTATCTGACAGCCCATTGACAGTGTTTGGGGGATGCTAAAAGTGTTTTCATCTAGACCTTTTGAACATCAGTGCCAAAAAGGGGTGGGATTTTAATTGAAATGAATAACTTGTTTATAAATCTGACAAAGTGGGTATTCACCCATGAAAGCTTATGCTCCAATACATCTGTTAGTCAATAAGGTGCCACAGGACTCTGTCGCTTTTTACAGATCCAGACTAACACGGCTACCCCTCTGATACTTGTTTATAAATAAAATTACTCTATTGGGGATACTTTGTAGAAAAAGTATCCCCATCCACATTGCCAGAGTCACAAATACTTCTAGGAGTATTAATAAATACCTCTGATTATTTAAGCTAAGTAGATCAATTTACATTATCAAATTATGTGATTAAAACTGGAATTAACTGTTGAGGTCAAAGAAGAGAATGTTATTTCTTCCTATATTTGTAGAGTGAAGAACTACTTTTTCTTGTGACAATGGACACATAGAAATGCTTTAAGAATGTTACTCTGTTCGGTAAGGAAGTTAGATATACAGACTAGTGCATAATAGTCTTGCACATTGTAACTCTCTTCAGCCATAAGAATCTCCAAAGGGCTTTCGGGAATGACTGCATCCACCCCTGAACTGCATACTTATTTTGGACAGAAACCATAGTGAACATACAGAGCACCTTACAGAGATTCCTTTTAGGATAGGCAGTGGAGACCACCACCTCTAACTGCAACTACCCAGGAATTTAGTTATGCCACAACGTAACTGTCTGGAATTTGACCAAGACAGAAGGCAAGTTCTCATTCTTTCAGAGAGTGCCAGAGGATCTTAAATGCAACTGTTTAGTCTGGGACTACATTTTTCTATCCATACCTGTAAGAGGCCACCTCCATCCAGCAGTGCTCTCGAGCACCACATGGGAGTAATTATTAGTGGGGGAAGTCCCACTATCACCTTTTCAGTTTCTCGTGAAGGGTTCTCATCTGACTACTACTCAGGCTCAGGTCTATTTAATTTATAAAATCTGATGGACATGCAGCTGAGAATGGTGGGGCTACACAGTCTTCATCCTCAATTTCTTGACTAAGAATAAATTATGTATTTTGTTGTGCTACTTGGATGGCATAGGAAATACTGTAAAAGGGATACTCACCATCCACTGGTCATGAGATAATGCAAAGGCTATATATCCTTCACTAGGACCACTCATTTCAATAAGTACCGAGTGGTTATTTTGTTTGAAGGACAGAAAGAAACAATAGGCAGCCCCAGGATCACATTTTGCAGGATTCCTTATGCAGAACTTTGTACTTCCACAGCCGGAGGCATTAAACTGGACAGACAAGTAGAAAATTAAGTTAACAAACAAGCTGGTCATTCTCCACAACTAAAATTACTATAATCCCAACTAATATAGAAGTGAAGATCTACACAGAAAATGCATAAAGAAACCCCTCTTCTTCTCCCCCACCCCACATAGCCAATAATTACTAACCAGGATTAGAATTCACTGTCATGGTAGTTATTAAATTGTGAGCTTTGAATTCACCAATCAGTTTAAATGAAAGAGTTCGACATCATAGTGGTAACAAGGCTATAAGTTGGAAGTGTAATACAATCCCCTCCTGTTCAAGGACATTTCTTCTGTTTAATAAAATAAGTTACAATTAACTCAAGTAAAAAGTTTCTATATACTTTTCAGACTTCCTGGTGTCTCACTTTCCATAGACTATTCCAAGTCATTAACAGCCCCATAGTGCTTAAAAATTATTAGAAAGATGCTCCTGTGGACTCTTACAAACCTGAAATAACACATTCTGGGGAGAGAAAAAAGTGTCTATTTTTTCCTGAATGGTTGGTTAAAAACCCACCAAGAAAAGTTAAGCTGCACAAATGCCCAATACATAGCATGGGGGGGAGGGATAGCTCAGTGGTTTGAGCACTGGCCTGCTAGACCCAGGGTTGTGAGTTCAATCCTTCAGGGGGCCATGTAGGGATCTGGGGCAAAATCAGTACTTGGTCCTGCTAGTGAAGGCAGGGGCTGGACTCTATGACCTTTCAGGGTCCCTTCCAGCTCTATGAGATAGGTATATCTCCATATATTTAACTTTAGGAGTACTTTTAATACAACAAATTCAGAACAAGCATGTTCAAGATAGCAGTAAGTGGAAAAGATGTCATATTGCTAAACCTGGTCATGTTAAATGAGAATACTATTGCCCAACTTTAACTAGAACTTCAAGAACCCGTAATGGAAGTCCAAACAAAGACAAACCCATGTGAACAAGCAATTATAAATTAAGCCTACCCACTCGTATATAGAAATAATCTACTTTGTTCCTGCCCACCCACACCCTCATTTTATTAAACTTGAATTTTATTTATACAGAACCACAGGTCAGCATGGCTCTTTATACATAAAGCATGATATGACTCCCCAGATGAGCTTAGGTATTTGTCTTTTCACCTTCTTACTAAATGGTGCTTGAACTGAGTTTCCTTCCCCCACTCCTTTTCTCTCAACATCTCAATAGTTAATAATCTGATAGAGACACATGGTAGGTGAGGTAATATCTTGTATTGGACCAACTTCTGTTGGCGAGAAAGACAAGTTGAGACAAAGAGAGAGAATTGGTCCAATAAAAGATATTACCTCACCCACCTTGTGTCTCTAATATCCTGGGACTAACCTGGCTACAACAACACTGCATACAATAATCTGATAGGTCATTTCCCATCTTCCACCTTCTGTTAACACAGTGGTTAAGAAAGCCGTAACTGCAGCCCTACTTGGGAAAAACTCCTATTGAAGCCAGGCATAAGAACTGAATAAAGGTTGCAGAATTTAGTTCATAATAGAGAAATATACCCACTGATTTTGTTAGATGGAAAACTGGCTGTGAAGTTGGTAGAGTCTCTGGTGTAATACTTGTAGGTGTCGTCAAAGGTGGTGCATTAGGTTGGGAAATGACGGGACCAGGAATCTTCACCCAAAAGATTTTATATTTCTCTACAACTGTGGCTCTGAAGGGCAGGGAGGAAACCACACACAAATTCAGTACTGTGAGGGGTGTGCAAGTACTAAATGAATTACTAAATAATGCTTTACAAAAAAGGAGGGAGAAACTCCTTTATTTAGCTGGCCAAAAAGAAACATACTTGTCATATTGTGTCATACAACTAATCTCTCCAAACTTGGCATCTACACAGGCACCTGATGGGTTTTTTGGGGGATGAGGGAGAACCCTCCAGCCAGAAGGATCCACCACACAGCAGATCAAGCTTCAGAAATGGATTCAAGGCAGTCACTTCTCAGCTGCCTGCTGCATAACTTGCAGCATCACAGAAGGGTGGCATTTAATTTTTATTTCAAAACATATGAGTGTCACTGCTCATACCATACATTCTGGGTCCAAAATGTAAAGCCATATAACGGTAGAACACATGTGCAATTTTGGTTAGGAATTAAACTAAAATTTACACATCAAAAAAATATTTCTATCACTACATTTGTAAATCACCCCTTGCCAAGTAGTAGGCCATTGTCAGCCAGTAACATGCCTTGCAACTTCCCCACTTCAGAAGAGGAGAGAATGTTGATAATTTTCTTTTTTTTAAACCCTCCTTCAGGATTGTAATTTTATTTGGGAAATGCACAAAAAAGATCTTCTGCCTTGATATTCTCTTCCACAAGGTTCTGTATTAAGATTGCTTCTTGTTTTTATTGTCCTTCCAGATGCAGTAATTGAGCACAGAAGCCAAAAGTTGACCAAGCTAAATAAGAGGACATCAAACATGCTGCTTTCTTGTTGACATGGTACCAGGTGACGGTTGTAGCTGTTGCTGCACCACTAGTGAGTAGGAGATCAACCAACCCCCATCCTATTTTGTGAGCTCCAAACAATATGGGAGCCCATGCCCAGTTTAATGCCAGCTGCCCTGCATACAGCCCAAGTGGAACCATTGACTCTTCATTGAAACCTCCCAGCTCCTTCCATAGGCAGCAGAGCCAGTTCTTGAGCAGGAGTTGGTGTGGGCAGAAAAGGGAGGAAGCTAACAAACAGTTTCCCCCAGAGACATTTCCTGGGTGCTAATCAATATTTATGACAGATAGAACACTATATATTCACCTACTTTGGATTTCTAATAAAGGATCTCCAATATTGTGTTTACTTACAGAAATTGTACATGTTCTGGTGCATCTGTAGGAGCAATCCAATAAGCCTCTACATGGGTCTTTTTTGATTTACTTGTGTGACTGACAGCAGAATTCTGAAACAAATATATCCAGAATCAGAGAGAACCGGCACATAGGAGTCATATAGCAACACTCCTATAGTTATTCTACAAGGCAACACAATGGTGCACCAGAGATGCAGTTAAACTGAGTCCTGAACAAGCCCACAGACCACCCCACCTTCCATTGATTTCAATGGAAAGCCTCCATACTGACTTTAGTGGGAAATCAGTTGGGTCCTATGAAAGGGAATCAGTTATAACCTGGCTGTGGCAATTATCAATGTCTGCAATATATGCTGTATGGAGTGCTGTGTGTTCTACTTAATATTAACACACTAAGAGGTATAGTCTACTTGCTGTGTGCAGAGCCAGTTGGCACTAACCATTTCACATTAGTGGAAGCTGGAGGCTTTGGCCGGAGCTAACTGCAGAGAGCCACAACTCCATCTGCAAGTCACTGCCCAACTGTGTTGAGCTGCCTGCCTAAACAGAACTAGAAGGGCTAAGAAGCTTAGGCCATGTCTACACTGGGGATTTTAGCTATTGGTGTAGCTACACCAATGCATCTTAGTTCCTGTTTGAAGCACATATCATACCTTTACAAGTCCACATGTCAGGAGCTGAGAAATCCTTTCTTCAGCTAGCATAAAAGAGCCAACTGCAGGGCCTGCCAAGTTCTCTGCATTCCGGGCTTGTATGAAAAATCCTTCAAAAACTGGACCAGATAAATTAACTAAAATAAGGAGGGGGGGAAAAAGGTAAGATGTTTCCAATGTAATCTGTAAAAAGTGGAAGTGAACAAATATGCTTCCCCTGCCCCCTGAACCCCATGCCTTAGCAATGACCACTGTTTAACATTATTTTAGAGGTTAACTGTACTGACTTGGATGAACACTCATGAGCATCACCAGGACATTTCAACTTTCTCAGGATGGGGCTGTCTATGGTTCCTTGAACCAGGTAATCACAAGGAATCTACAGAAGGTGAGTGAGACAAGACAAAGCACTTTCTTTGACCACCGTACTTTACCACAACTGCAATGCTGGACACAATACCTTTTATATGGTCCCCTGGTCTAAATTTGGTCTCATTCACTGATATAGTGTGCTCAGGTGATGGCTGTGGAGAATGTTCATGGCGAGGCATCATACTACTGCAGGCCTCTCTTACTTTTCCATTTGGATAACCAGCCGCAGGAACAGAAAGAAAGGCAAATATCCAAAGAGTGAAAGCCAGTACAGGAGGCTCCATCTGAATAAGTTAAAGTCACGCATTATTAACCAACACTGTAAATGCTATGCTGTTTATAGAGGAGGAAGACTAATGTTGTCTTTAGTAGACATGATTAAATTTAAAAAAAAAAAAAATAGGTTTGCAAACATCTTAACAAGCAAAGGCACCAGGTTCAAGAATCATAGCAAACTGGAGTATCCAGACAATTGCCAGGCATTCATGAGATTGTTTATAGACACCAAGCATTTAACAAAATTTTAGTATGAATGATTATTTGTTCAAGAACTCCTGTGGTTGTGGCAGATCATCCAGTCACGTGGTACTGTTTGTCCTCTCTGACCAGATTTGTGTTGTGGACAGGCTACCATTTAAAGCAAGGTCTATGTTTATTTTCTCCTTTTAAAATAGCCCTTTCACAACTTTCAGAAGAGTTTTTTCTGCCTTCCTGCTGATATTTATGGGTCTTCTCAACTGTGGAGAGAAGATAGGACCATGAGCAATAGCCCCCAAACATGTGTGGGCTCATCCTTTGCTTCTTCTGTATTCATATACTTGAAATGAGTATACTTGGCACTTATTACACGGTACAGGACACTCCTCACTTTCCTTTTCGATTTTCAAAATGCTTCACAAAACACTAACATTCTCACATATGTAAATATCATCCCTGTTTTATAGATGAGGAAACAGAGGGAGAGAGATTATGTGACATGATCAGGGCTGCAAAGAATCTGCATCCTGGGAGTATAACTCAGGAATTCCTGCTTTCCAGTCTCGTGCTCAGCCCATGCTACAATCTTCAGTTGCATTCTTCAGTCAGTCCTAGAAAAGCTAAGTCAGCCTCAAGCAGGGACTGGACTCAAAACCCTCCCTACATGGCATTACACCCTTTCTCATCTGACCACTCCAGTCAGATGAAGCCCACCAGTTACATGGGACATATGCAGTTTCAAAATCAACCTAATAAAATAGAAATGCAAAGGATCATAGTATTGAGGAACAACAAAGCCTATGACAAGTCCAGATGTTTATTAATCAGAGTGACAAAGAAGTCCAAATCTACATCATGCAGTACTGATGGTGAAGCAGTCACATAGTATATATTTATTCCTTTTTACATGACTAAAGATTCGCCAGTGACAAGATCTTCCCCAGTGATTACAATGGCCAAGTAGTGGAAAACATTTCTTTAAAAAGTCAGATGAAACAAACTATTACTGTGACATCCTAAAAAAATCAAGCTACTGTTTCAAAGTACAAAGTTCTCACTAGAACTAAACTCTGATCTTATGCTCTAGTAAAATATTTGTCTGTTTATTAGTTTTTTTGGGGGGGAACCTGTATCTCTATTAGCTACAAACAGGTTTTCCCAAAGCACTCCCCCATGGAATTTGAACAGAGTAGATCTGGACTTTTTTTCCACCTTTCATCATGAGAAACAAATATTGATGCAAAGAACCATGATCTATTAGGACTGAAGATCATGACGAAGGGCAATGTAGATCTGACAGCAGAGGTTTAAAAGAAGGAAAATTTACTTTGTTCTGCCATACTCCCCATTGTGGCAGAAAGAAAGGTAGGTCTGGGTTTTTAATGTTACATTTATGTACAGTCGGATCTTTGATGGGGTTGCTATTCTGCATGTTAAGCAGAACATTGTAAATAAAGTTTTCAATTATTATGAGGAAATTGTTCAAAATAAGAATACATTTGATACTGATTTTGCCTCATCCTCGTGTTTCCTTGCATTATGGTACTGTTACATGAACATTATTTGTATACACAACAATACGTTCTGTACTTACAGGTATAAGGTAGACACAGGGCCGGCTCTAGGATTTTTACCGCCCAAGGCAAAAACAATTTTGGCCGCCCCCCCCCCCCCGTTTTTTAATTACCCCACCCCCGGCCCCGCCTCAACTCCGCCCCTTCCCTGCCTCCTCCCCACAGGCTCTCAAGCCTAGGAGGGAGGGGGAGAAGCGGCGGCCGCGCCACGGCCACTCGGAGTCTCCCCCTCCCTCCCAGGCTCTCAAACCTGGGAGGGAGGGCGAGTAGCGGCACGCGAGCGGCAGCGGAGGTGAGCTAGGGCGGCCGGGGCACATTTTTAGGGGCGGCATTCTGGCGCCGGCCATGCCGCCCCTAAAAATGTGCCGCCCCAAGCACCAGCTTGTTTTGCTGGTGCCTAGAGCCGGCCCTGGGTAGACATTTGATATTATGCACAATATTGTTCCAAGACAGATGCTGAGGGTGGCAGCATTATTTCAGGGTGTACTCATTAAATGGTATCTGGGGTTTTGACATGTACCTGGTGCATCTTTACCATATGATGAAAAGAACTTGTTTCTATTATGGTCAAACAAAATGGTAAGAAAGACTCTTGAAATCTTCACCCTGACTGAGGCATCAAGGTTGAAAGCAGATTACCAGAGAGTAGAGTGCCCCCGTTCAACCGTGTAGGAGAGACATACCCAAGTCAGAAGTATACTAATGTGAGGTCCAAAGATCTGCTTTCTGGGGAAGTACAGTCTATTTTACACAAATAGATCAGAAAAACTGAGTTATGTGCTTAGGAAGCTTCCTATGGATGTAAAGATAACACAGGCACAGCACCATTTCTCAGATAAGATGAGCCCTGCCCTCTGATAAAAGAGAAACCAGAAAGGCTACAAGGCCAGAGTAACCATTAGAACAGGGGTTCTCAAACTTCATTGCACCGCGACCCCCTTCTGACAACAAGTTATTACATGACCCCAGGAGTGGGGACTGAAGCCTGAGCCCGGGGGGGGGGGGGGTGGCCCAAAGACGAAGCCCAGGGCTGAAACCGAAGCCCAAGTACTACCACCCAGAGCGGAGGCCCCTGGGCTTTGACCCCAGGGGGTGAGACTTTGGCTTCAGCTCTAGGCCCTAGCAAGTCTAAGACCAGCCCTGGCGACCCCATTAAAACAGGGTCACAACCCACTTTGGGGTCCTGACCCACAGTTTGAGAACCGCTGCTCTAGAAGCATGTAATATTAGCTCTTTTCCCAGAGTGCTGGATGCAATTGTACAAAACAATGCAGGATTTGTGCTTCTACATACAGCAAACAGCTCTTATGTTCAGTACATTTGAGAAAAATCCAGGTCTTCAGAATGATTATACTCCAGGGACTACTACTACTACTACTACTACTACTACAACAACCACCCTAAAAACAAAACCATTGTTTTCCCTAAGAATACTGAGACACAAGACAGGCTAGTATACAAACTCACTGTGTCATCGATTACTTCTAGAGAGCTGATTTCCAAGCTTATTGCAGATGACAAATTAAAATGAATTTGGTGAGCTCCTCCTAGTCCCCATTCGAGCACGTCTCAAAAATCCGTCACAATTCTCAATCACCACCAGAGTTCTGCGCTGGAGAGGCAGAGGAGCACATAGAGGATATAGTATGCAAGAACTAAGTTGCACTGGATTTTTGGTGTAAAGAAAGTTTGCATAGTCCTTGTTGAGATCACTGTATGATGGCTCAAGTCACTGCAACTTTTCCCCTCACTGGCATGAGCTCCTAGTAACAGAAGGTATAACAAGCTTCAACATGTTGACAGTTGCCAAGAGATAAGACTTGTATGTGATAAGGCGATAACAAAACAATGTTTAGGGTTCCAGTTTAAATGGTAGATGATGTGGTACAGATTTTTTTTAAGAGAAGCCAAGGTTATTCTTCTGCAAACTGAATTGGTAACAATGCTACTTTTCCCCATAAAGATAAAAATGGCTTTGCAGAGGGGAGAGAAGAGGGAGATGTGAAACAATTGTTATGCTGAACAGTAATTTAAAACGGGAGATGGGGTGGGGAGACATTTACACAGGAATAAGTGAGTTTCTGCTAGGTATCCCAATTTTTCTACTAACATTTATTTGTCCTCAAAAAACAAAAACAAACAAACAAACAAAAACAGCTAAGTTTCCTAAGAAAGTCCCTTACTTTCTTTGAGTTAAGATTCTTTAACAGCATAACATTTTTTTCAGGGTTCTTCTCCCAGTAACAGGAAGTTATTCTCTGAAACTCAGTTCCTTCTAGTACATGTATATACAGCAGTATTTTGATTATTTTGGAGATTCACTTGCTGTGGAATGTCAGAGAGAAGAGGAATTTGGCACTGAAGAGAAGACAATTTTTGTAAGAGGTGAGTCCAACCAAATACCTCAGATTCAAAGTTGCCCAAATTCTCTGAAAGTAGTTCAGTGTTTGAAACCCAATCCAAAGCAGAATGTCATGCCAGACACCATTCTACATACACCTCTACCCTGATATAATGCGACCCGATATAACACAAATTCGGATAGAACGCGGTAAAGCAGCGCTCTGGGGGGAGCGGGACTGCGCACTCCGGTGGATCAAAGCAAGTTCAATATAACACCATTTCACCTATAACACGGTAAAATTTTTTGGCTCCCTGAGGACAGCGTTATATCGGGGTAGAGGTGTAGTAGTAAACCTAAACACCTTGAAGTTGGGAATTAAAGTGTAGAGCCAAAGATCAATCTCCCCTCCAATCTGTTGCATATCTTACCTTCCTTAAGGGACTAGAAAAACTAGACTAGGAGAGAATATCAAGGAGCTGACTTGCAATAAAGCCTCAGCATAGGTACATTTTGAGACTTGTGACTTGTTTGCCGTTAAGTCCATAGCAGTAATAACTGTGAGACAGAACACTTCACAGCCTTGTGAATATGACACCATTAACCACACATTAACTAAAAGCCATGAAGGGAAAATTGAATTGCTTGGAAAATTGAATATATATCATCAGTAGGTCAGAATGGTATGATATTCAGAGTTTTAAGGGAATTAGCTAATTAACTTACTGAACCAGTAATAATTGCTTCAGAAAAGTCACCATAAACAATGATGGAAGTACCATAAGATCTCAATAATTCAAATAATGTGTTGAAATCAAGAGTGGTAAGATAACAAACCTGGTAAATCTGTATCAATCTTTAGTAAAATTATGGAACATTTGTATTCACTCAA